GTGAGACTGTCCCACCTATCTGGAACCCTATGGAAGCCTGCTCAGGTCTCCATTGGCTGGTGCCTTTGGCTGAAACCCTCACCTCTGCCTCCAGCTCTATCTCACCCCCTCTGGGGGGCTCGCATCACCGCTCACCTCCCCAGAACTTTCCTCCACTTCCTACTGCCCTGCTTTTTCCATCCACGTGGGCTGTTGTCCTCTTTGCCCTTCCTACTGATCATGTCAACCAAAAGAACTGGGTCAAACACCTTCCTTTGAAAATAAATAGCTGTGGTGGCAAGGAGAAGGCTTAAAATAGGGACTCTTCAGGACCAAAGAAGACATATGGTGACCCTGGCACAGATGTCTCCTAGGGTGGCTACAACACCCCTATAACAATGGATCCCATGAAAAAGGCTTGTCAATATCTCATCCATCAGAGCAATGATCCTTCTAGCCCAGTGTCCTGTCTTCTTTCAATGGCCGACGCAAAACGCTTCAGAGAGAATAAACAGAACAGGACAATTATTATGTGGTTCTTCCTCTGTTGTCAACTCCCATCTTCTGAAAGTCAGAGATTTTGAGACACCCAGCATATGGGGGCGGGGGGATGTTTGACCATCCTGGCTAATAGCCACTGATAGACCAATCTTCCATGAACTTACCTAGATGTTTTTTGGAACCAGTTATACTTTTGCCCTTCACAACATTCTGTAGCAGGGAGCACCATAGGCTGACTGGCTGTTGTGTGCAGAACTTCTTCCTTTTGTTTGTTTTAAATCTGCTGCCTATTAACTTAATGGGCGATCACTGGTTTTTGGGTTATGTGATTGGGTAAATAAATGTTTCTGACTCACTTTGTGCACACAACTCAGGATTGTATAGACCTCCATCTTATCTCTGCTCAGCCATCTCTTTTCCAAGATTAAAAGTCCTAGTCTCTTTAATGTCTCATGGTATGAAAATTGTTCCATACCACAGAGCATTTTTCTTGAACATCTCTTTACCTTTTCCTATACTCATGTATATTAATTGAGATGGAGTGACTAGAACTGAACATCATATTCAAGATGTGGGAGTACAATGGGTTTACATTGAGGCAGTATGATATTTTCTTTCATGATACCAACCCCTTCTCTAATCCTTCCTCACATTCGGTTTGCATTTTTTTCCTACTACTGCTGCACATTGGATGGATGTTTTCAGAGATCTATCCACGACTCCAAGATCTCTCTCTTGAGAGCTAATTTAGATGCCTTCAGTTGGTATGTATAGTTGGGAATATATTTTCCAAAAGTCAATGCTTTGCACTTATCAACACTGAATTTCATCTGCCAGTTTCTTACCCAGCCACCTACTTTTGTGAGATCCTGTTGGAAAACTTCTTAATCTGCTTTGTGCTTAAGCATATTGAATAATTTTGCCTCGTCTGCAAATTTTGATGTCTCACAATATATCCTTTTTTTCAGTCATTTATGACTGTTGAACAACACCGGTCCCAGTTTAGACCCAAAAGAACCCTAATATTTATCTCTCTCTGTTCTGGAAACTGACCATTTATTCCTACCTTTGTTTCCTATCTTTTAACCAGTTACTAAGAGGAGCTTCCCTCTCATCCCATGACAGCTTCCTTTTTTTAAAAGCCTTTAGTGAGAGCTCTTGTCAAAATCATTCAGAAAGTCCATGTTACATTGTGCACACGCTTAAAGAATTCTAATAGATTGGTGAGGTATGATTTCTCTTTGAAAGCTGTATTCATTCTTCCCTAACAATTTATGTTCATCTGCATGTCCGATCGTTCAGATGCCTCCATTTCCAGGACCGCCTCTGAAGCCTTGTTTAAAAATGAGCATCACTTTAGTCATCAGTGACAGAGACTAATATCAACCATAGGTCACATATTATTAGAGTTAACTCCCATCTGTACATCTGTGACTCCCATCTGTACAGCCCCGCAAATCTGTGGCCACCCACTTTATATCCACGGGTATCCGCATCCACATCTGTGGCTCCCTTTTTCAGATATGCAACTGTGCAGGTGGATGTGGCTCTCCATGGCTCATTCTTACAGATGCTGATGCAAATAAAAAATATTGTATCCGTGCAGGGCCCTATCCATCTGGTCCTAGTTATTTATTATTCTTTAATTTATCATCAGTTTGTTCCAAAACCTTCTCTTCTCCCACCTCAATGTCAAACAGTTCCTCAAATTTATCGCCTAAAAAGAATGGCTCACGTGTGGGAATCTCCCTCCATCCTCTGCTATCAAGACCAATGACAAGAATTCCGTTAGCTTTTCCAGAACAGCCTCATTATCCTTGAATGCTCCTTTACCACCTTGATCTTCCACTAACCCCACTCATAGCTTGGCAGAATTACCACTTCTCATGTACTAAATAAAATTCTGCTTATTTTTGTGTTTTTTGCTACTTGCTCTTGAAATCTTTTTTTTAACAAGAGGTGTAGTACTGCCAACCCTCGCTTAAAATTCGGAGAGTGGGTTATAAATGATGAGACTTAAACTGATACGAATGCAGGGCTCCTTTTTTGGTTGTTGAGTGTTTGGGGTCACTTGCTTCAGGTTTTCTAGCTTTGCTACAATTCCCCTTTTTCAAATAAACTTCCTTAGGAAAATGGAAACCTGAGATCCCCAAGAAGTGTCTGGATTCTACACATTGGGGATTGTTGAAAGACAGAAAAGTCTGTGAGATTCCAAATAAAATCCCATCAGGTGGTGCTGTTCAGGGGGGTCGACAACCTCTGTAGGCTCCTGGGCTAGGTGTGGGGCTGGCCTGGCTCTGCACTTCCAGGTGGGGCTGAGCCTTGGCAGAAGAGGCAGGGCGAGGGACAGCCAGACCAGCACAGAGCACAGCGCCCCTCCCCCAGCCCTCATAGCTGCACTGTGTGTGCAATGCAGGACTCCAGCGGCGATTTAAAGGGACAGGGGCTCTGGTGGCTGGTTGTAGGCTCCTGGGCTAGGTGTGGGGCTGGCCTGGCTCTGCACTTCCAGGTGGGGCTGAGCCTTGGCAGAAGAGGCAGGGCGAGGGACAGCCAGACCAGCACAGAGCACAGCGCCCCTCCCCCAGCCCTCATAGCTGCACTGTGTGTGCAATGCAGGACTCCAGCGGCGATTTAAAGGGACAGGGGCTCTGGTGGCTGGTGCTGCCACA